CTCAGCAGCCACGTGGGGCCAGTGGCTTGCGAACCAGGTGGCACAAGCGCCTAGAACCAAGGACAGTGGTTCCTAGAACGTGCCTCCAGCTGAGGACAAGAGCAAACAAGGCTGGAACCTCCCAGCCAGTGCATGTGGAGATGTGCGCATGTGCAGCTATATTTAAGCCAGTACCGGACGAAACATAGTGCCAGCAAATGGTGCTAGAGCGGCCTGTCTAATGGGGTAGCTGCCAGCTTTGCGTGGCTATTGAGCACTCCAAATGTGACTGGTGCCACCTGTTTAAGTCATATAGCCACATGTGCCCATGGCTACCATTTAGGATGGCACCGCTGTCTGCTACCTACAGCTCCCACTCCCCTCCAGCAGCCCCTCAAAGTCGTCTGGCCCAGGGCAGACTCCAAAATACCGGGGAAATGTTCTGATTCACAAAGAGAGATAATAAGGAAACACAGCATAAGCACTAATGGCAGTCAGGTGTCTCATAGGCATTGCTGCCATTCCCATTTTGCAGGCGAGAAAACTAAGGCCCAGAAAAGCAAAGCCAATTTCCCAAAGTTAGAGGAGACGGGGAGTGGGAGAGGGCGTGGGGGGGCGGGGAGGTGCAGCCAGGTAGTGTTTACAGGCCTCTTGGAACAGCCTGGTCCCTCCCCTGCCTGTTGGGCAAACAGGGGGGTGGTGGGAGGGTCTGGGATGTGGGAGCCCCTCTCTGAGCCATCAGAGCATAGGGCGGCTGCCTCCTGGGGCCAGCAGTGATGGATTCCCCAGCTGGGCCTCCCAGCCGCAGGAGGCCCAGGGGAGCCTTCCCCAATTCGCCCTGGCTCGTTAATGCGCAATTTACTGGCACTTTAATGCACTCAGCATGAAAAGTGCTGCTCCCTCCTGCCTGCTAGCTGGCCCTCCCAGGGGAAAGCTGTGTGCGGCAGACATGGGGAGTAGTGGGAGTGGGAGTAGCGGCTGGCTTCAGCTGCTGCTGCTAGCTTGGGATTTTAAATGCACAGCAAGGAGGCTGGGAAAACAAGGAGAGGGAAATAGAGAAGAGGGGGAGGGGGAAATGGTCTATTGGGGACCAAAAGGCCATCAAGGCTGCTAGAATCATCACCTGGGAGTGGGGAGGACGCTCCTGGGTTGAGCAGCAACAGAAGCGGCCCATCTTGGGGCCTTGTCCCCCTTAAGTCTTGAGACTCAGTAAGAGCTCTCTGGCCCCTCCCCAAAACACAGTCCACAATCTGATTACTTCTCACCACATAACTGTGTGAGACACTCCCACACATCTGTCACCTGGTCCGCCAACCCCCACACAGCTCCCGCCCAGCTACAGTCAGTCCTCCCTGGAGCAGCCAGAGACCGCCTGTGAGCACCTGAGTCAGGTCCTATCTCTGCCTACAGCCCTCCAGGGCTCCCATCCCCACTGTGGTAAAAGCCCAAGTCCTCACCGTGGCCCACACAGCTCTGCACAGCCTGCCCTCGCTGCCTCCCCCATCTCACTCTGCTCCAGGCACAAGAGCCTCCTTGCTGTTTCCCCAGCATGCCGGGCCTGGTACTGCCCCAGGTCCTTTGCACGTGCTGTTTTTCAGATACCTTCATGGTCCGCTCCCCTCTCCTTTAGTTCTCTGCTCAAATGTCACCTTCTCAATGAGTCTTTCCTGGCCACCCTGAATTGCAGCCCACTCCCAATCTGGTCCCCCACGTCCCCCGGGGGCTGCTCCATTCCATGTCCACCTTGCCCAGCCCTCATCATCTGACACCTCTATTTACCAAGCTCCGCTCACCCCAAGGGCCAGGGTTTGTCTGTGTTCTTCTCTGCTATTTTCCTGGCGCCTACAACAGCCCTTGGCAAGGTGATAGATAAATATCTGTTGAATGAATAACTGTTCTGGTTGCTTCCTGCCTCTCCCCCATCTGTCTCTCCCAGTTCCCTGAGCTGCCCACCCCAGCCCCTGCTAAATCGCAGACATGGCCCTGGCCTTCTGCCAGGCACATCTGGCACCGGCAGAAAGCCCTGCCAGCACCCAGGAGAAAGAGGCCGGGTGGCAGGAGGACAGGCAGGGGTGGAAGTCATGCTGCAGCCTGGGCAAGGCGCCCTGTGAAGGGAGCCAGGGCCTCCGGTGCGGACCTGTCCCTGGCTCAGATGTGAGCCAGGCCCTTGAGAACTCTCAGACACAAGGAAGAGGGTAATCCAGGTATGTCTGGCACACATAACAGGCCCTTCAGAGCTGAAGCGACTGACCTGCAAAGTGCGAAAAACACTCCTGGACTCATCTGAGCCACGCACGAACCCAGGGAGCAGGCCAGGAAGAAGAGGCTCAGAGAGAGGATGGGAGATATACTCCCAAGATGTGTGGATCCACTGATATCCCAGAGGGTTCTAGGCCCCACCCTTCCTCTGCCCACAGCCCTCCAGGGCTCCCACCACCCTGGGGTAAAAAGCACAAGTCCTATGAGGCCCAAAAAGCCTGGAATGACCTGCCCCCGCCCCCACCCTGCTTTCACCTCTCCCTCTTCTCCCCTGCCTTTCCAGGAGAGGCAGCTGTACCCAGAGCTCCTGGCGACGCACCTGCCTGTGATGTTCCTGTAGATCGCGCCGAATCTTCTGGAGCTACAAAGGAACAACAGGGGTCACACCGGCGGTGGTCAGTGGAAGTGGGCAGAATTTGAATGCTGTTCATGCTTCTCCCCAGCTGTGTGACCCTGGACAAGTCACTTTACCTCTCTGGTCCCTGCTCTCATCAAAGAGAATGGCACTTCATACCCTCGAAATGAGAGCTAATTAGGGAGACCCCTGGATTTCATTCTAGATGTGAAGGTCAAAGGCCTTCCCAGAGACCTCTCCCCACCCCTTCTCTCTCACCCTCTTGCTCACTCTGCTCCAAGCATACTGGCCTCCTTACTGTTCTTCCAAGGCGTCATACACAATCCTGCCCCAGGGCCTTTACACATACAGTACCCACTGCCTGGAACACCTTTCCCTGTTCTCTCGAGGGGTAGCAGGAGCCCTTATCTTCTGTGGCCACCACTTCCTCTCAGAAGCCCTTTCTGACTACCCTAGCTCAAAATCTTTACTCATTTTCCGCTCATCCTTTTCTATTTTCCTTTTAATTCTGACTTTTTTTTTTTTAATTTTGTTTTTTTCTATTTACTTCCTTGTCCCTCTCATCCCCTTAGAGCTGCCCTGTCCAATGGGGTAGCCACCAGTCAAGTGCGGCTATTTAAATTTAAACCAGTTAAACATTCAGATCCTTACAAAGTGCTCAATTGCCACATGTGGCTAGCAGGTGTCATATTGGACATTGTGGACATAGAACATCATGGAAAGTTCTAGAAAACATGGCACACTAGAACATACACGCCTCAAGGGCAGGACTCTAGTCATGTGCTGTGAGCTAAAGAAGCCGCTCCTTTAAAGATGGAATTTTCAGTTGTCACAGTGAGATTATTATTAAGAAAAAGTCACATGAAGCTGGGGTTCAATGGGGTAATTCACTTGCCCAAAGTTAGCAAAATAAATTTGTCTCAAAACCCTGTTCCTGGGGCTAAAACAGAACAGCCTTTCCAGGGGCTGCCCAAAGACGCTGTCTGGTTTGTGGCTCACCAAGTAGTAAAGGCTGTCCACCTGTGCCCGCAGGTGAGGAGGGAACCTGTGGGGAAGAAAGACCAGCTGTGGGGGGGGGGGGGGGGGAGGTGCAGGCAGGACCACATGTAGAGCAGTGTCAAGATGAATACAGTTTTAGTGCAGCATTTAAATACATCTATAAAATTAAACGCATGCAAATTCACACTAAACAACAACAAAAACCAAACATTTAAATAAAAGCCAGGGTTCGGATTACTGGCTTCCTTTGTGCTTCAGGCTTCCCCGTTACTGGTCCTGTCTTTGAGGTCAGGGACTTCTGAGCCGCCCGGACAGCAGATAGGATTCTTTCCCTCCGTGGGGTCTAGGACCACAGAGGGACTTCTGACCCCCATGCATTGTCCTCACCTGGGGAACTGCTTCTTCAGTTGAGCCAGAATGTCCTGAGTGCTCAGGCCTGGAGTGTTGGCCTCATGAGGAGCCTGGAAGGGTTGACGGAGTGTGAGATGGGATCTCCGAAACCTGCAGGTAATTTGCCTTCTCTCTTGTTACTTAAGCACCCACAGAGTACCTTTCATTCTGCACCTTGCTTTAAAAATCTGAAGTATTCCCTCTCTTGCCCTTTATGGAAGAAATTTGCCCAGTCCAGGCCTAAACTGTTCGCAATGGTCATCTCCGGGAAGTAACATCTGGAGGGTGGGAAATTTTGCTTGGAAAATATTAACAAAACAGATGATATAGTCATGTGTTTTACACCTGGGTCATAAGAAGTAAGTTTAATTTTTAAAAACCAAATGCCGCCCTAGCCAGTGTGGCTCAGATGGTTGGGCGTCGCCCTATGCACAGGAAGGGTGCCCCTTAGATTCCAGGTCAGGGCACATGCCTGGGTCCCTTTTGGGCTCAATCCCTCATCAGGGGCGTGCAGGAGGCAGCTGATCGATGTTTCTCTCTCCCTCTCCCTTCCTCTCTAAATATCATTAAAAAACATATATATAAAGCAAGTGCCTTTGCATCTGTCAGTATGATGGGTTAGTGACCCCAACTTCAAGGCCTGGCCAGTCACCCCATATTCCTCCATCAGAAGGAGAATTAGCCTTGGCCGGTTGCTCAGTGGTTAGAGCATTGGCCTGCAGACGAAGGATCTTGGTTTGCCTCCGAGTTAAGGGCATTTACCTTGTACCTCGGATGCACATTTGATCCCTGGCCCAGTCCTGGTCGGAGCCTGTGTGGGAGGCAACCAGTCTAGGTGTCTCTCTCACATCCATGTTTCCCTCTCCCTCTTTCTTCCCCTCCTCCTCCCTTCCACCCTCTCTCTCTAAAAGATCAATGGAAAAAATATCCTCTGGTGAGGATTAAAAAAAAAAAAAAGCAGCAGCAGCAGGAGAATTAGATATGAGCCCAGCCCCCAGGTCCTTCCCCTCCCCCCAGAAGTGAATGCCATATCACATCCTCTCCCTCCTCACCAAAGTTCCTGGGGGCTTCACCATCCATGGAGGGTGCCCCTGGGGGCTGGGATGGCCAGAAGAGGTCATCTTCAGGTAGTACTCACCAGGACTCTAAAAGCAACAGGAAAATGGAAGGTCCTGAGGGCAGAAAGCTAAGGCAGTGACAGTGACTGACCAGCCCCACCCCTGCCTGGGCCTCCTGCACCCCTCACCCTGGTCTCCACTGCGGGCGGGGCCCAGTCTGCAGTCCTGGCCCCCAACCCCACCGCTGACCTCCAGCACCCCACTGCATTCCCCACAGTTTATGTCCATTCATCAAACACTCTGATGCCTGCAGCTGTGCTGATTAATAGTCGGGCCCCTGAGGTCTCACCCTGTGATGTGTCCCCCTATGATGTGTCCAGAACAGTCAGGGCTTGGGAAAATCAGGGCTTGGGGAGGGCAGTCAGAGCGTGGGGGACCCAGAGAAGAACACCAAGGCTCAACCTCAGTTTTGAGGCCATTTCCCAAAGGCCGAGAGAACACCATCGGAAAGGGGTTTTGAAGGATGAGTAAGAGTTGGCCAGGTGAATGAGGAGGAATGTCTCAGGTCGGAGGAAAGAGACCGCTCCACCATAATCACTCTTGTTGCATCAAGTCCCTTCTTCCCTTTGCTTCTGTCCCTCAATGCCCCTCCAAGTCTCCTTACCAGCCTGTGACCTTGGAGTCCTCCAAAAGGCCCGGGGCCTACTCACCTCCCTTACAATAGAGGCTCAGAGGAGCCAGAAGGAAACCGCGGAGGTCAGCCAAGTTCAGGCCAAGAGGAAGCCCCCTCCCCTCCCCTCACCCGGGGGGCCTGGG